AGGTTTTAATCTTTTTTAACATCGCCAGAAATGGGCTTCAGGCCCAAGTCAGTCCACATAATTCGCACATGAGCCTACTGATATAATCAACAAAACAAGGAATGGAAATCTATTATGATACAACTACACTCACTAGATGCAGTAAAAAAGGAGAATAGCGCTATGCTAACAGAAAGTCGAATTCAGATTAGGGAAGAAGTTAGTAGCACAATGTCAAAGCAAACTAATAGTTGGCATAAATCACTTAGACAACAGAAAAACTTTTTTCTAAGACAAATAAACTGTATTAGAATAGTGAGAATAGAAGAGGCCCATCACTATAATTAATAGCATAAAACAAGATAAAAGAAATGAATGAAACATTGTAAAAAAAAGGGATAACGTTATTGCAAATCTAAAGAGTGCGGATGGTTACATCACCAACCTCAAATTTCACTTTACATCACCAACCTCAAATTTCACTTTAGTCATACTTAAGAAATACTGCTTTAAAGTACAATTAGCTCTCTCCATCTCTCTCTCAAGCCAAGAACTTTTGTTCAACAAATGGATAACGTTTTGTTGATTACACTAAAACTATCACAAAACTAGTTTATGAAACGAGGAATGGGTTTATGTTATGAATACAAATATAGTCACTTGATATGATTAAACGTCGGTTGCTCTAAACTAGTGGTATGACATTTAAAGAGGAGTAACGCTATGTTGAATGAAAGCTCAATTTAGTTTAAGCAACGTTTTAGTAACACTGTGCTAAAGCAAGCTAAGGTTAACACGAACTAACAGATCATGTAAATGAGAATATAACAAGCTCAATTTATCGAATATGAAACTAACAATATGTACTGGAAGCAATGAGGAAGAATGGAAGATGCCAATCCAATTAGACTTCAGAAATTAATAACATGAATTTCACCATAAGTCTAGATGCATAGAACCATAGTTATTTCACCTACTGAGCCAAACAAGGATCCTTATCTTATAGGCAATAGATCAAGTAGGCGGCAGTCCAATAAAAGATCCTCCAGAGCTTGAATTGAAGAACAAAATCACCGATACTGCAATAATCCAAATCAAGAAACACAGCGACACAATACGAGTTTTCATCAAAACAAGTTCAGTCAAACGGTCCTTCTTTTGAGGCACTGCATAGAGCTCCTTTACAATGATCTTAACAAGTACATCCAAAAGTCTCTTAGACCGGGCGTCTGTATCAATTGTGTTTGAAACTTGATTTCGAGCTTGTTTGAGAAGATCTGCCAATACTTCTGCCTGCAATGAAATGATCTTAGAACCGTTCAATATTTTCAAATGATAATCATCCGATGAAAGATCGGACTCATTTTTGTTGATCTTGATTGTAGATGTTAGAGGCAGATTGAACGGTTCCAACGAAGCTAGTGCAAAGCTCTTAAACAGAAGAAAAACAAATTTAAAACTAAGAAATTTGGAAAACTCAGACGTCAATCTCAGGCGATAACAATCGTATTCTGAATTTCTTTCACGGAAACACAAATTAGAAGCAACAATAAAAAATAACCAAAAAATAAAATAAAATTATCGAGCTGAAACATACTTCATCGGCGTCCGAAATCTCAGAAATCGAAGAGAAATCAGCAGGTTCTTTGACAATATCCGGCAAAAGATTTTCAGGAACTGAAGTAAACAAGTTCTTCTTCACGACCTATGAAAGAGAAAAAAAAAAAAGCAATTAAGGAAAACAGATGAAAATTTGAGTTGAAGCTTTGAATTGCGATTACCTTCTTCTTCGAGTGAGAGTCCTTGGATTTGCGATTCGCAAGATCGACAGTCGCGATTGGTTTTGCTGTGGAGTTTGAAAACCTTTCATTTGGTTTGGCTCTTTGAAAGTGGCGGGGGTTTTGAAATTTCTTTGATATTCTCAATTATTTTTTTAAAATTAATTTGAGTTTTTGAAATTCTAATAATAAAAAACCAGCTTAAAAATAATCCATCTCTCACGTGACACTTTTCTAAATGCACGCCACTTGATGGACTGATTCAAGAAGTTCCGCTTCAATCTCGTGGACTTGCCTGGTTGCATCGAGCCAGACTTTGCTATAGTACTGGGCTCCAAGCTGATTCGAATGAAGCCCAAGTCTGAAAGCCTATACAGGAAGGCGAATCTCTCTGACATTATCAAAGATCTCCCTTGACATTATTAAAATTTTTTCTGAGGCATTAGGTCTCCTTTGGATTCATCAAAGAAACCATTCATATTATAATAAAAAAATTCCCTATCAATTTTTTTTTTTTGACATCATCAAAAACTACTTTAATGTTAATAATATTTTTTTTTAACATTATTAAAAACCCTATTGACAGTACCCAAAACTTCCTTGAATATATATATATTTGTTTATTTATTAAACATTTAACTTAAATGTCTAAAATATCATTCCTCGCTCACTTTCTTCTTGTTAGAAGTTGAATTTTTCACATTGCCAATTTGGTAGGCTATTATTGGTGTATATATGTGGTTGGGCTCTCTACTATCTTAAACTAGTTTTTAGAAGTAAGTTCTACAGTGGTGATGGGTTGGGATCTTGGCCCTATACATTGAGCGTGAGGGAGTTAGAAGTTGAATTTGTCGATCTTAATATACCACACGCATTGGTACACTTGCACGAAATCCACAATCAACAGTTAAAAGTTGAATTTGTCGACCTCAGTATACCGCACATGTTGGTACGCTTAAGCAAAATCCACAATAATCAGTTAAAAGTTGAATTTGTCGACCTCAATATACCACACACGGTGAAACACTTGTGCGAAATCCGCAATAAACAGTTAGAAGTTGAATTTGTCGATCTCAATATATACCACACACGCTAGTACACTTGTGCGAAATCCACAATGAACAAATTATTATAAATGTCTTATTAGATAGAAGCAAGGTGGGAAAAAAGAGTGAGAACATAACTAATTAAGAAAGTCAGATTATTAGTTAATTATGGTATTAACTTCCATTAATGGCATTGCACAGAACAGAAACTATTGGACATGGTAATTAAAAAGTAAATTAAAACTTGGTATGCTCGAACTGGTGATGAATAATAAAAAGTTGGTCACACACGGTGTTTCATCTATTCATGCATATATTTTAAGTGCTTTTCATCGATTCTTATCGATTCTTGACTAGGAATCTAATAATTAAATTAGCAACTTGATTAATTTTGTAATCACTTTCTTGAACATATAGTCAAACATTTTATTAACGTCTTTATATTAATTATGAGATTCAATAATTAAACATATAATATTAGTCTGATACTAGTGTTTAATATTGTTCACGACAACGTTAATTATTATTATTAAATTTAGGTAAATTCTATGTTAGGCCTCTCTTTGGGTTGGAAAAAAAATATTATAAACCACCCTCCGGAGGGTGGGTGGGGCAATAGATAGAGATGGCAATGGGCTCGATATTTTCGAGTACCCGGCCCGGCCTGACCTGAAAGGGGCGGGCTTTACCCGAGGTTGGCGGACTTAGGCTTGGGCCTGGGCTTGATTTTAAGGCCCGACCTCGGGTACGGGCCAGACATGGGTATATCTTTAGGCCTGACTCGGCCCGTCCCCAAAAATTTTAGTATTAATTTTACTAATTTACCCTTATATTATATATTTAATTACAATATTATCCTATATATATATGTATATCCATTTTTCCCAAACCCTAACCTCAATTTTCATCCCATATTGAAGATTTAACATATTAAAATTGCCTTCAAATAAGTTAGATGAGTTTGGTTCAACTTATAAAAGTGGATTTCACCATAACATATTATTCACAGCTGAAAAGTTACTATAATCAAATATTATGGATTTTTAATTGCTCACTTATTGCTTAAATTATTTGCAGAAATAGCTTCAATTAATAGTTAAAAACTATTTCTAAAATTAAAAATATAAATTTTTTTTGTAATTTATTAATATTTAAAAATAAACATTATTAAAAAAGGTGGGCTTGGGTCGGGCCTACGGTTATTAAAAACTTGTCGGGCCAGGCTTGGGCTTTGCCTATCATACTCGTAACGAGCTCGGGCCGGGCTTGGGCACGTGTCATGAGGTCGGGCTTGGGCCTGGGCCAAGGGGTATCAGGTCCCGACCCTGCCCATTGCCATCACTAGCAATAGAGACTCTTAGGTGTATTATTCAAGAAGTCTTTAGTTCAATTCTCGTCGGTTGTTAACAAGGTTGGCCACTCAAAGGTTTTTCCGATTGTTAACTTCAGGACCCCAATATTTATACGAGGGAGATCCATATACATTGCAGGTGAGATAATGTTGAATTATTGAATGGAAACATTATGCCATGACTAATTATTAGAAATTTGAATATCTACAAAGGGAAAATTAATGGCTTAATTATTAATCATAATCATAAAATTTTTATCTTGGGTGGATGGTAAACCCTCTCCAATGGTACTGCAGCATTGTGATACCCCCACTAAACCATTCCCTTTTTTAAGTGCTTATAGCACATGTTTCGTGTAATGTTTCGTTTTTGGTACGACATCTTCGAATAGAGTTACGCACATGTTTGGTGTAATGTTTCGTTTTTGGTACGACATCTTCGTATAGAGTTAATGAAAGAGTAATGTTAGGTCCATAACTCAATCTTGTAACCTTCTCTCATAACCTTTAACGTGACAGTTCACAATTGATCAACTTGCAAATGGGTCTTGCCCGCTTACTATGGGTCTCGCCTATCTATTTGCAAACTTGCAAGCTATCACATTGTAGGTTTTGAGATTGAATTGTGGACCTAGCATTACTTGAAATGATTCCCACTTATGTCATGACAAGTTTCTATACCCAACGACCCAATTAATTTTCTCCGTACTGACACCTTTCATCTATATACTTAAATATATTTGATGTTTCTTGAAGCAAAATTTATGAAATTAAACTTCAATAATAATAATAAAAGTTAACTAGCTCTTTGGTTGTGTAAATTAGTCTTCAAATGTTTTTCAGTAATAAACTACCAGAAAATAAGAATTTATTATAAATAAGGGTAAGGTATACTTAATTCTAAAATAGATCAATGGGGTAGTTTTGATATTTCAAAATGCTAAAAAACTACTTGTTAGAAAAAAAAATTCATTTTTATTATGAGAAGATACTGATATAAATAATGTTACACTTCTAAACAATATATATATATATATTTTTTTTGTGAGAATAATAAATATGTATAAAAGAAAAATGTACAATATATGAGAGATATACAAGAAGGTCAAAAATTGATCAAAACAGATGTGTCCATCATTTTGGACACGTAAGACAAAAAGATGGATACAACCACTAAAAAAGGAGCACACAAGCTCTGTACAAAAGAGATGGGGGGCACAAGCGCTCTAGGGAAAATCAAATCTAATATCATTCAGTACTAAATGAGCACGTAATCAAAATAGGAACTCAAATCTCCTATAAATTGCCTCATCTTTCTATCTCATGATGTCCACAATTTATCTTTCTCGTTGCAAAGCCGGTATTAATTGCCCATAACACTAGTTTCATTTCTCGTGCTTGAGTAAATATTGTCTTAGAAATTATTTAAACACTTTGATGATTATAATTAATTGTTTTTTAAATACTTTATTGCAGGGTTAAGGTGTATAGCAGCTAGCAACCAATATGACGATGACGAAGACCTTACTAGTACTCTTTGTTGCCTTCTTGTTGGCCTCAGCAAGTCTGCAAGCTGATGAAAGCCTCACTTCAGACGAAAAGAACAAGCCGATAGCCGAGCATCAACCCCAGAATTTGACAACTGAATTATGTCCACAAAAGCCCAGAGGAAAGGAAGAGGGTGGACACCATTGTTTTGGTCCCAAATCAGCTGGTGAAAATACTATGGCCGCTGCTAATGATGACAAACAAGTAACTTCGGAAACAGGTACTGGAAAGGGTTGATAAAAATACAAAACTCAGCTATAATAAGTACGGTAATCCTTCTCGTAACGGTTCTTAAGGTAACCTATTAATTTTACGAATAATCATAAACCCTAAAAACTAAAGCTTGTGAAATATATATGGAGCTTATGTATAACTTGTGAAATATATATGGAGCTTTTATGGTTGGTGAAGATTGTAATAATTTGAAACTAGCATGTTAGGGTGCCTTCCATAAGAATAGATATGGCATCCGTTCAGTACAAAGATATTTAATGAAAATAAAGAGACCATGAGTCCATGACTGCATGGTTTTTGTGTTTTATTATATCAGTACATCACGTGGTGCATATTGAAAGAGAAACTATCACAGTTCTTCATAGGAGAAACTGAATAATCAATTTAAATACAGTTTACTAATGTTCAGATCCTGTATTTTTACCTAATTTTATTATTTCTTTTAATTTAAAGAGATTATGAAACATGAGCGTAAAAGATGAAAAGACCAGTAGTTGGATACTTATAAATAGAATAATCTTCTATATATAATTATAGTTTTTCTAATTTCCGTCTTAAAAAGTTACATTTACATAGTAATAATTATCAGTATATATAATAATATATAATGCTACGTTACATTAAAGATTTAAGATGAAATAAAATATTTATCTAAATGTTTGGGACAATGATTTATGTTTTAGAGTTTTACTATATTTTTAACTTGTGGATACATAATAACTCAATAGCATGGACACTTTTCTGTTGAAACCAAATATATATAGCTTCTTAAGCATTTAGAGCTCTTGGCACGAAACATTTATATTTCCGTACTATCCTCTTTAGGATTATTTTCTTTTTCTCTTACCTAATTATAACAATGACTACTAAAACAATGAATTGAATCATAATACATACTAACTAAACGTGAATTATAAAATTAGAAATCAAATAGTAATTTTTGTAATTACATCTCTATTAAGTTATAACCTCCTTATAGTAATATATATATATATATATATAATATATATATATATTATATCTCTTATATATATATATGATGTATGAATATTTTTCTTCCTAATTGAGATTTGATTTCTTATTTCATATATTATTTTGTTTTACTTGTTATTTATTATTATTATTATTATTTTTTAAGATTTTATTTGTTTTCCCTTTTTGGGACTAGGAAGGCTTTTAGTTTAGGAAGGTTAATTATTTGAATATTAGGCATTATTTT